ATTTTTTTTAAAGAGTATCACTTTTTAGAATTTGTTGTTTTCTAGAGGAAGCCTAGGTTTCTAACGTTGATAAAAATAAATTTTCTTCCCCAATTAATCATACATGTGACTTTGGTTGGCTGAGATTGGAATTTTTCAAAGGTGGGGGGAAGGCTTTAAGGAGGTTTTCGGGGTGAAAGAAAACGAAAGGGAAAAGGGATGTTTTCGAGATTGGGGAAATGGGGGATGGAGTTAGTTTTGGGGGTGGGGGAAAAGGGAGAGGGGCCGATTTTTGGGTGGAGGGAAGGGAGGGGGTCGGGTGATTTTCGAGGCATGGGGAAAGAGAAAGGGTCAATTTTTGTGCGGGGTAAATGGGAAGATGTGGTTTTCGGGATGGGAATAAAGGAAGGATCGGAGCTGGTTTTTGTGGGTGGGGGAAGGGAAGATAGCTAAGTTTGGGTGGGGGAAATGATGGGAGGTAGTTTTCAGGGTGGGAGGTGGTTTTTGAGAGGGGGTAGTTTCCGATGGTGGAGCTGGGGAGAGGTCATTTTGGGGGTGGGATTTGGCCACCGGCGGTGGGGCTAGTGGTTGGTCAGTGCTTAAGCTTTTTTTTTTTTTTGGGAAAATACACTTTAATAATCCAAACTATGGGCGATTTACTTTTAATAATCCCAATTAATGTTTATTATCTAATAATCCCAACTATGAGGTCAGTTTGCCTCCAATGGTCGCAATGACCGGTGACCTGCTGAAAGGTTTTTTTTTTTTAGTAGTCACGTGGCAATATGTGAATGGTCCAAAATTTAAAATAAAATAAAAAATATCAAAAAAAAATTTTAAAAAAAAGGTGAAAAAAACAACCCAAAACTCCAACCACCCATTTCCCCACCCCTAACCATTGTCGGAGCCCTAACCTCATCCCCTAAGTTCGTCGAAAACCGGCCAGCTACCCCCATTAACCAACGAAATCGGTCGGCCGACCCTCTACCAACATCTCTAACCTACCCCCAATCCCTGAAACCAGCCACTCCGATCCAATAACCGCCGACGCACGCCCAAGAATCACCGCAACAAAAGCAATTTAACGCAATCATTGTGCCGGCGATTTTAGCTACGGGGCTAAACTAATTGGTCAGGAAGACCCCTCAATCTTCCTTCTCAACGCTACCGTCTTCGTCCCAGAAAACGGCGAAAACTCGTCGTCATGGTTGGTGGTTTTTGGGGTCAAGATGGTTGGGTGGGTGGTTTCGAGGGTCATGGGTAGGTTAGATGGGGTCGTAGAGAGCCGGTAGACCGATTTCAGTGATTTATGGGGGTGGCCAGCCGGTTTCCAGCTTGTTAATGGCTGGGGTTAGGGTTTGCCGGTGGTTGTTGGTGGCTGAGAATTTTTTGGTTTTTTTTTTAAAAATGTTTTGTTTTTAAATTTATTTTTAGTTTTGAAACAATCACGCGTTGACACGTGTCATGGTAACTTGTTATAACAGGTCGTTGACTTTGTGTTGACCAGTTGGGACCATTGGAGGCAAACTGACTCCATAGTTGGGATTATTAGATAATAAACCTTAGTTGGGATTATTAGAAGTAAATCACCCATAGTTGGAATTATTAAAGTATATTTTTCCTTTTTTTTTTTTTACCAATAAATTAGAACACATGTTCAATGACCTATTATATTAAGCTTGGTAACCTGTTAAGCATAATAAAAGTCAATACCCTAAAATTGTTAAAGTTATTGCAAGACGGGTTCAAATTACCCTAAAAGTATTTTAAATTACACTTTTATATACAAAAGTTATCATTTTCTTAACATAATTTTTTTTTTCTTAAAAAGCATTTATAATATATTAGATTAATCATATTAGCTTCATAGCATGTATCCATTAGAAATTACACATTAACTTACAATTAAGTTCATTAAAAATTAAAAGTTACTATTACATGGATTAAAGTTACCATATAAATTGTTTAAGTTACCTTTATATTGACCGTCTTACAATAAGGTTAACGTAAGTCTGCCTTATACAAGAATTAATATACGTATTTAATACGAGTAACATAGTAATCAAAAATTTGGATGTTTAAAAAGAAAAATGACCAAAGTTGAGATTATTAAATTCAATTTTCCTATTTTATATGTGTATTTTAATTGTTTTGATTATTCTCCCTCCATAAAGTGACACAATATGATTTTTTAAAAAGTACAAAACTGATCTAAGGTAATACCACATGGTATCACTTTGAAGGTTAGATACTTAGCTAATATGCACTATTTACATAATATCTTTGACTTTTTTTTTAATCAAATGTTCACAATATATATGATGTATATTTTCATTAAATCATATAAAAATTATTTAATTTACTCATATAAGATAAGTACTAGCTACGTAGCTAGATGGTACAACCTATGACTCTAGGTATGTAAGTTACTTCCTTCGTTTTTTTTTTTTTAAATTGCAGCATTTGGAAATTCATATTATTCACATACTCATTTGATTGTCTTTTGTGATTTTTACGTTAGATAAAATAGAGTCATGTGGAATCTAATTTCTCATAATATACTTTCAAATTATCAACTTTTTATAATTTTTACTTAAATAAAACTTATATTATCTACACTTATATTTGAAAGTGTAGGTAAACAAGTTTAGGTGCATAGCATAGTTTTTACTAATTTTAATCTCATTACCTCAGATTATTTCAGTAAAAGCTTAACCGCTACACCTTGAAGTTTTGGATGTTATTATTCTTTCGAAGTAAAACTTTAATAAGTAATGATATGTTAACTCGAGGTAACATTAGAGTCAAAAAACTAGTTAAGATTATAAAATGTACATTGTCAAACGTGAAATTCAAACGATAAAAAGGAATGTTCCGTATAATATTAATGTATCACTTAAAAACAAAGAAAGAAATAGATAATGTAAGTTAAAATTTGGAAGATGAGATTAAAGGGAGATAAAAAAATACTTGTAAAAGATTAGCGGAGGGAGAAGGTTACCCTACGTCCCTACCATTAGCATTAGCATTATCATCAGAATGGAGGGCCATGACAATGATTGATACGCATAGTTAGTAAGACTTGTACCTTATATATCATTTGGGATGTGCCAATGGAAGTTGAAAGCTGGCTTATTGGCACTATCTGATTATTTAAGGGTTTTTTATTATTGTATTTTCTTAACACTAACAAATTCACAATATCATATTAATGGAACAAGAATTAGAGTTGGATATGGGCCATGTAAGCCCCCACACGGCAGTCCATCAGAGTGCTCCGGAATTGGATCAATATCAGTCATGTTGGACTCGTGCTGATCTTTTATAAATGAGATTCAAATACTATTTGACCTATAGTTGGATTATGTCTACTTTTTAAACCATTATTTTTTAATTTTTTTAGTTGATTAGTTAAAAACAAGCGAGTTGATATGTGCCTCTGAGATAAGATATATGAAGGGTTTTGCATGTGGAGCCAATTTGCTAACCTCATTCAGATACAACTCTAACAAGAACCATTTCAATTTCTATTTTATCCACTTTCACAATTAAGTCGTTCTACATCGAATTAGTAAATCTAAGATGATAGTGAAACTATATTTAATACTTCATAGCATAAACATAGGGGTTTTATTATACAAAGTACTCATAATATATAGCAATTTTTCCTTAAACTATCAAGTTCATTTTATTAGCTCTCTAATAATCTACAGATTATGTATAAACTGACTAATTTGTGGAAGTTATGAAACTAGCTACAAATTTAGATAGAGTGATAGACTATAGACTGATAGAGCCATAGAGTGAGTATATATTAAAACTTTATGTTTGTTTTAAAAAGGTAACTTTATAATTTTAGATATAAAAAACACGAAGCAAAAATGATTCAAAGCATATGGAGAGGAGGAGGGGTGTGTTTCCCCATTGTTTAGTCTACAATCAACGAGTACTAGTAAAGTTGCTTAGTTAAAAGAAGGATTACAACGAAAAAAAGTAGATCACCTCCAAATAACTTTACGTTTATTCTGGCCATATGCTTTCATTCCCACTATATTTATACTCCTACAACCAAACCCACTTCAACATCTTTTTATTGAGCATTATGTTACTTTGTCAATGTCAAGACAGGTCAGAGTACCCTTCTTACTAGTGAACTACTTACATTAGAATTGAATATGAACTTGAATTGTCTTTATCAATCTTGTGTCTTTCTCTTTCCTTAGGTTTGATGATACGCAGTAAAAACGATTTTGATCAACGACACACAAGATAATTATAAGAATAAATGGTATTTCGTATTTTCTAAATATGTCATTCTTGTTATTTGAAATGTTTAACTTAATTAATATGCAATACGATATATATGGAGTGTTATCTTAATCCATTCAATTGGGAAAAATACTCAACTAGTCAACTTTATATTATCTTTATTTATTTGATCGAAAAAAAGTACTCTCTTTTATATTATCTTAATACAAATAAATTATGTTAGTTATTCCTATAAGTAACCAACAAAGAAAGCTTATAAAAACAATAAAATGGAAGTACAAGGAATAATAGAAGTTGCCACTATTCTGCATAAATATACATTTACAGATTACAGATTCTAATTATCAGATCCATTTTCTAATCTAAATTTAATAACAAAAAGACAGACTCAAATTTTAAATATCCCAAAAGAACAATTTACCTAAATCCACTTCCACTTTCCCTCTTTTGTTTTTCCACTTATTCTCTGTATCAACTCTTTTTTGTTTTTTTTTTTACTTTTTCACTGAGAAAAGATAATGCAAAGAAAAGGCCAAAAATAAAATATAATTTTGTGGGGCTCATCCATATACTCCAATTCTCATCAATCATATGCACCAAAAGGCCCCAGCCGTCCGGTGCTCCTTGTCTTTCTCTACATTTATTACATTTTTTTTATCTCTCCTCCTTTTCTTTTTTCTTTTTTAATTTTTTTCTTACTACAGTATTAAAATAGAATTAATTAATTTATAAAAAAAAAAAAAAAGCAAAAATCAGAAGCGAGCGTCTTCGAAGCCGTGCAAGTCGCTAACCCGGTTCAAATTCTTCCTCATCATAGCCACCTTAGCCAGCCGCTCAGCTGCTTTCCAAGCCGACGTTGGCGTAAGCGGCTCCCCTTTTTCATCCACTACACAACATCCTCCACCACTACCACGACCGCTTCCATCTTTCTCTCTACGTCGCTTCTCATCCGGTTGGGCTTGTCGTCTCCACTTGACTTCGGCTAGCTCGGCTTCCACCCTCCTCCTATACTCCTCAGCTGATGACGTTTTCAAGCTCGGCTGACTCAAAACAGCACGAGCCGATGCTAGAAGCCGTTCGGCTCCAACAAAATCATTTCTCTCGGCTAATAATCTCCTACTTTCCGCAACTGCCCTTGTCATAACAAAAAGACATCTCAACCTTTGAATCTTCGGGTCAGATGATCGGATGGTGTGGGGACGTGGCACGATCAAGGACTGGTCTCCACCGTAAATTACCTGTTTGCAAGACGACGGATCTTTGTGATACGATCGAACGGACAGCATGTGGTGGGATCCAATTGTACTCGCCGGCACTTTTAATTCAACAAGAATTTCTCTCTCCTCTGAGCTATACAGATCCCCAAGTTTCGCTGAACCCGGGCTAAGCAAACCGGGTCGGCCCGTACACGAATAAACCGCTACTATTTCAGCCGCAGCTGAACCAGATCCTAAACCGAACTGAACCCGAACATCCAAAACGACGACGCTTAGGAATAAACTCAAAGCCTTAACAAACTTCTCCTCTGGAAAATCCTCCCTTACTTTGAAAGTGTGAACCGGAATTTCAGAAAACCGGGTCGATGATATAATCGGGCGGTTTTCCTTCTCCTCATCGTGGCCATCCATTAATACGATGGCCGCGAAATGATTCTTTTCCTTCCGATCTTGTATTACCTTGGCCGCTTTTCGTAGCGCGTCGTTAAGACACGCTCCTTCAGCGGCCAAGTTAATGGCGTCGATAATACGCCTAGCTGACCGCCTCCCCGAAGGAGTCATCCTTCTAAGCGGAAGCAGCCGCTTTGAAGTAGATGAAAATACCACCATTGAGAGGCGGTCATTAGAGGACAGGGAAGAAATCATTGCTCTCACTCCTCTTTTTAGAGCGTGTAATTTTCCGGCATTCATTTCACAGCCGATGTCAATGACCACCACTACATCGACCGAAGGACGGCGTATTCTCGCCTGGAACGGAGGAGCTTTCACGGTGAGTAGCACCGCGTAAGTCTCGTAACTCCGTCCCACGGCGATCACTGCCGATTCGGAGGAGATTGTCACCTTTACTCCTTTACTACTGTTATCAGCAATTTGAGGCCGAGGAGTTGCCGGGTTGGAGAAAAAACCCGGGAACTCATCATCTGTATTATTGTAATCTTCATTTTCTTCCTCCGATTCGGGTATCGGGTTGAATTGGATTGAGGAAACATGTGTTACGAGTGGCTCGTCGTCGTCGTAGAGTCGGAGTTCACTCGGGATGGATTTTTTAACGGGTTGTTTTTTCTGGGGCATTCCTAGAAACGGACCTTCCTTCCATTGAGATCCGCAAAGAGGACAAGACAGTAAAGCACTAGGATCAGAGCTCCCATTCTTCATCGCCAAAGCAGTAATACATGGGAAATGGAATGAATGCGAGCATTCCGCCGTGAAGATAGCCGTCCCTTGTCCGCCTTTAACATTATGAAGACAAACACCGCATCGACTCATCTTGGAAAGTCGGAGGGAGTTTTTAAGGAGCAAAGAGAAAGTAGAAGGAGAATGAGGGGAAGAAGGAGGAGGAGTGGTGGTAGTTTTGCAATGAAGCTTCGGAGAGGTTTCCTCGAACACGGTTTTACACCGGAGAGTAGTGGGTGTTTTAGGTGTTTGTGGGCGAGGAGTTGACGGAGAAGAAGAAGATGAGAAAAATGTAAACTTAGAGAATCCCATCTTGGGGCTTCGAGTATTGTTAATGTCATTATTATTGTTGTTGGAGGATTCATGGTCTTTGGGGATGGAAGTGCAGAAGGCTCTTCGCCATCCGGTAACCATTGTTGGGTTGTTAGTAGGAAGAAAATATTCAATTCGTAACAGTTTTGATATTTTATGTGATAGTGTGCTAGCTTAGTATGGTGTAAAAGATGACAAAAGTTTAATCAAGGAGGATCAACTTTTTGTATATATCAATAATAAAATTTTAGTGTGTTGTTTTAGTATTTAGTTTTGGTTGTATGTTGAAAAGCTTGAAAAAGATGAGTTGAGGAAGGTAGAGAAGAAGAGAAGAGGGGAAGTGAGATGTATTTTTAGGCTCAGACCTTATGAGGAGGAGGAGATGAGTGGATTTATTAAAGTAACTCATAGCTGTAGGTTTTAATGCTTACAGTATATTATACGGATTACTTGGTAAATTACTGTACACTGTAGCGGTAACTAGTAAATTCAAGGCTTTACGAGTTTTTTTTTTTTTTTTTAACGAAGAAGTAGTTATTTTGAGTTTTGACTATAGTTTGACTTCTGTACTGTTCATATACTTTTATTGCACTATAAAACCTTTTGCACTATTCACATAATCTTTTTTGACCATCTTTTGTGATTTATCCGTAAGGAAAAATACAGTCACGTGGGATCTAATTAAATTCGTCTCGAAATCTACTTTTCAAATATCAATTTTTTATAATTTTTACAAAACTATAATTAAAGATATTAATAGCCAAAGTAATACATTGGCAAGCGTGAAACCACTCTTGGTGCAATAAATATAAAACGGAGGAAGTATGTATATTTTTTTGTCCTATTTTTTTATTAATATTATCGTTTATATTTATTATGAATATACTTCCTTTGTTCTTTTTTACTTGACCCGCTTTGACTTTTACACTATTCACCACCCCTTCTTTGACCGTCTTCGATGAACAATATGTAAGGAAAAGCATATTCATGCGAAATCTTTTTGAATTCATCTCAATAAATACTATCATAATATATAACTATTATAATTTTTACTTATGGAAAATTAAAAGTTATTGATCGTTAAAGTTTTGCATCAACAAGCATGATAAAAGAAACAAATCAAGTAAAAAAGAATAGAGGGAGTATATGATTACAAATGTTACTCCCATTTTCACCATATATTCGTACTTCGTAGACAAAATTTGTTTGTGAGAGAAAAAAGAGCATGCATGTGATAAGTAAAGAGATAAAGACGAATGACCTCTCCAAAAGGAGAAATAACACTTGTTTCATCTATTAGCTTCCTTCTATAATAGATGTTTGCAAATAAAAAAAAATGGGAGTGGAATAATTAAAGTTAAATTGGCCAATTAACCATATTGGTATAAAAATTAGCACCCTTTGTGACATATATATTAGTATAAAAATTATCGGCGGCTATATATTGGTATAAAAGTTCGCAAGTGGCAATAGATTGGCATAAAAGTTAACCAAGTGGCGGCATATTGGTATAAAAGTTAACAAATGACAATATATTGGTATAAAAGTTAGCGAGTGACGACATTTAACCTTTTTTCTATCCAGAATAATAAGCGCATATTATACATATGTTTTACTCTTATTCTTGTTACCTTATTTTTATTGTTTTTCTATACCTTTTTTTGGTTCTAATATTCATTGAATATTTTTTAAACACTATTAAAAGTGAAATAAAGTCAAAGAATAAAAAAGAAGGGAAAAAAAAGGAGGAAATAGATAGAGGAATAATTAAGATTATGCACAGAACTTAATCAAGAAATATTACAAGATTAAGTTTTAATTACATATATTTGAGATTACATTAAGCTTTCAATTTTTTGCAATATACAATATTATATAAATAAATTTTCTCCCAACTTCTTAATTATTAAACTAAAAGGCCAATTTCAACTTTTAAGAGGTTATCATAAGAGTTCAACTTTCCTTTCAATTTTTGAGATTTTTGTTTGACTAACAATTTTATTTTGTTATTATTTGCCGATAATCTTAGGTGCATGAGCGTGGAGGAGAGAATTATTTGTTGTTAATAATGAGTATTAACAATAACGAAAAAATATCAAATATTAAAACTAAAATAGTAATTAAGTACTTACTCCGACAAGAAAAAAAAAGGGTTAAATAAATGTCATATCTTGTTAATTTTTGTACCAATATGTCACTATTTGTTAATTTTTATACTAATTTGTCGCCGGTGTTAATTGTTATACCAATAGGTCATCAAGGTGCTAACTTTTATACCAATATGATCAATTGACCGATTAAAATTGTATAGTGAAACTATTGTGAGTGATCTAAGATAGATGGATTACCTCCTTGGTCAGGTTTTATGAATTACGCAGTAGTTTTAACAGCAATTAACTCAAAATACAAATAAAAAATAAAAGGTCTATATATATAAGAAAAAATTTAATTTTGCACTATTCATATGCCAAGGTTCGTCCATTTCGTAATAATCGCAACACTTAGCCTTTTGCATTATTTACATGCTTGCTTTGACTATATTTTTTATTAATATAAAAAAAAACATATATTGCGATGTAAAATATTTTTAGATCAGTCTTTATGTATACTTTCAATAGATAAAGCTTTTATACTTCTTCATAATTTATAATTAAAAATATTAATTGTTTAAGTTATACATTGATATATATGTCGGTTAAAGTGTTACGATTATTATAAAAAGGATAATCTACGAAATATAAGTGGATAAATAATTTTTACAGTGAGGTGAAAAAAAGAAAAAGAGATGAGATCTAAAAAAAAAAAAGGTAAAGAAATGGGAAAGGAGTGAAAAAAGAGTAAAACAAGTCAACGAGGTGTTGTATAGGGATTGAGGTAAAAGAGATTTTACAGCATAAAACAGCGTCATGTTGAGATCCGTTCTTTCGCCTTATACTTCGTCACCTTTCTTCTGTCCAAGTATCCTTTGCTCCTTTTTGGAATTTTCATTATACACTATAGTATTAAAGTGTTATTCTAACTTAATTAGATTTTGTTTCGGTTGAAAACAATGGGACCTTGCTGAAGGTCCACTGAAATGGAGAAGACTGGATTCGATCCAAGCTGTGTTGGGCCGAAGGTTTCCTGCACAGTGAACACACGTAAACTAGCCTCGGGGGTGTTTCCGAGGAAGGCCCCTCCGATGCTAAAGTCAGTACAATGTGTAAAAAGGAAGACACTATGCAAGAGAGTTTGTAGCTTGAGGCTTTTGTGGAGTATTTCTCAATGCAAGAATGAGCATCTGAATTGGAATAATCAGTGTATGAGATAATGTATCTGATCTCCGATCTCCTCTTGAATGTGTTAATATGAGGGCTTTTATACCTCATCATACTTGGAGAGGTTGGGCTTTAGCCCAATTGGCTTACTTTGTGGGCTGACTTTTGACTTTTGAGCAATTGGAGAGTTGAACCTTGACCTTGGGCTTTTAATTGGATCATTTAGTGCTCAGGCCCAATTTTGACTAAATTGGACCCAAACAACTTGCCCCCCAGACCCGATTTGGAAGAATGACGGGTCGGGTTTGATTTAACTCAGAAAAGGAGGGAAGTAAATGATTTAATTGATCCAAAAATTTGAATTTAAACCGTAATTAATGAGATAACAACGGTTAATGATTTGCGGAAGTTGGACGGATAATGGGCGGTTTAATCACAAGACATGTGTTTAATGGTTACTTAGTGGGTACTTAAGAGAAATTAAAGCACAGACTCTTCGTATCCCGTACCTGGAGATATAAACAGAGGCGCGTCATTCTCCTCACTTATTCACCAACACAAACCCAGAATTCTTCGAGAGAGAAACCGAGAATCCGTATCAAAACTTCGCAAACTCCCCGAGCATTGAGCTTAGAAACTGAGACTTGCCACTACGAACTCGTAAATCGGCAACTTTCGCTTCAGTTTAAGGTAAATTCCTTTGATTTCAGTTTATTTTTCTTCGAATTCGAACTCCTTCCCCTTTTCTTTCGACTTTTCTCTTCGAAATAATCCATGGCAAGAGGAGTTAGAGGTAGAGCCCGTGCTCCAAGAAGAGCAAGGCCGATTCCCGATCCTAGGAATAGGATTGGGACCTGGAATGGTCAGAGGCCGGAGTCTGACCCTGCTGAAGGGATTAGGGCGACTCCCCTTTCCTCGGCTCCTCCTCAAAGAACGGATGAGCCGAGTGCTTCTGGACGGGACGATGAAATTCCCGCTGTCCTTTGGGATATCCTCCCTGGGTTTTCAGAGTGGGAGAATGCCGAAGTCGCTTCGGCCATGATAAAGAACCGCCCCTACTCATGGTGGGTAGAGAACGCCGATCAATATCGATTTGCTGAGCAAATTGAGTTGCACTACGGCATTTTTGAAGCTGATGGATATTGGTGCCGAATGCCCTCAGCATCCGATAGAATCCATCGTCCACCCCCGGGGTATGTGGGGGTGTACACGAGACAGCTTCAGTATGGGCTGAGGTTCCCTTTGGACGTTTTCGTCCGAGACTTGCTGATCCATTACAACATTTCCCTATGTCAGCTAACCCCCACCAGCATCCGAAGGGTGATGACATACTTATGGGTCTGCAAGTTCTTCAAATACGTGCCGAACCTGCACTGCTTCAGAAAGCTCCATCGGCTAGTGCCAAATATTCAGAGTGGGCACGGAAGCCATGGTTCTGGGTGGTATCGGATTGAGTCCCGGCCCCAATACTTGACCATGTGGCCAAATGACTCTTCAGACAAGGACTGGAGAGGTCAATGGATTTGGGTTAGGGCACCCATAGATCCGGGCCACCCTTGCGTCTTCAGCGCTCCCCGGTACTTAGCTGAGCCTGATCCCGAAATGGGAAGTCTAGGTCCCCCCGCAGATAACGGGGCGGATCCGAACCTGGATCAGCAACATATCTTCGGCAAGCTGCCGAACCCGGGGGGAAGTGGTCGAATGCAGCATATCCCGGAGACTTGGCTCCCCGATACGCATTACGTTTTCCAAGAGAACATGCTAGCAGCTGTTGGCCTCAGCCGAAAGTTTAAGGATGGTAAGCTTCTTCGGCTGGGGCCGAGGCTTTTTAACTACCTCTTTTTC